TTAGAACCGTTGGAGACTGATTGGCTGTGGGGGTTCTGAAGAAAGAAGGCCTTAAAAATAACTGGTGTCCCAAAATCTGAGCAAATAGGAGAAGAATGAACAGAGCTGGAAAAGTTGGGGGTAGGGAGGAAGGCTGTAGCTGATAACTGGTTTTGATTGGATTGAATTTGAGATGAAGACGAGAAATTATGTTTCAATAGCATTGGGAGTAGGAAATAGGACAAAACCTTGAGAGATGGGATGTAAATATAGGATTTAATTAAACAAATGATAACCAAATCTACAAGGTGATTTTTATTTCTTAACCTCAGGGGGGAAACTTTCCATGTAGGGCAGTGGTTCTCAACTAGGGGTGATTGTGCCCCTAGAGTTCATTTGACAATGCCAGGATACATTTTTGGTTGTCACAACTTGGGGAGAGTGATGCAGCTGGCATCCAACTGATGGAGACAGAGATGCTGCTAAACATCCTACAATGAATGCACAGGACAGGCCTCGACAACAGAGAAGTATCTGGAACAAAATGCCAACAGTGCCAAGGTTGAGAAAACATGATTTAGGGACAGGAAGAGCCAGCTGATTTTGAGGGGGAAAAATACAAAAAAAGAATAGTCAAAGATAATGAATCCCTTAATTAAAATAACTAAATTATGGAAACCCACAGAGGAGAGAATTTCTAGAAGGCAGGAGTGGCCAATATGTTCCAGTGCTGCTGATGTCCTGTCCGGAAGCGCTGCCAGCCTTCCAGAGAGCAGTTTCATTAACTGTGGGAAGAGGAAGTCAGAGTGTCTAAGGGCAGGCGGAGGACCACTGGTGTGTAGCTGAAGGCGGCAAGAATGTAGATAACACGACTGAGAGACAGGGCATCAAAAGAAGGCAAGATACTAGAGATATAGAGCCAAGTCTGCCTTCCTGAGATTGAAGGGAATGATAAGGACCACTGCTAACAGAGAAAAGACCAAAAATACCATGTCCTTCGCAAGTAAGCAAATGGAAGACCAAGATCCACAGAGGGAGAGACCACATAGTAAGAATCCAACCAAAGGCCGGGCATGGTGGCTCAGCCTGTAATCCCAGCACTTTGGGAGGCCGAGGAGAGAGGATTACCTGAGCCCGTGGTTTCAAGACCAACCTGGGCAACTTGGTGAGACCTTGTCTCTACAATTAATCACAAAAACTAGCTGGGTGTGGTGTCATGTATCTGTAGTTCCAGCTACTTGGAAGGCTGAGGAGAAAAGATTGCCTGAGCCCAGGAGGTTGAGGCAGCAGTGGCCATGAGTGTGCCACTGCACTCTAGCCTGGACAATAAGAGTGAGACTCAACTCAAAAAATAAAAAATAAAAACAAAAATAAAAAGAATCCAACCAAAGGCCTTGCATGTATATGTCCTACCAATTAAGTCAGTTTGAAAGAAAATTCCTCAAATATTTGTCAATAAACTTTTTAAATGAGATGCTAGAAAATAATCTCCAGTTAAAAAGAAACATTTGTTGGTAATATCGCAATTTCTTTTTATTTGAAGTCTCATCCTGTTGTCCAGGCTGGAGAGCAGTGGTACTCTCATGGCCACCGCAGCCTTGACCTACTACATTCAGGCAATTCTTCTACCTCAGCCTTCCAAGTAGTCGGAACTACAGGTGCACACTACCACGCCAGCTAATTTTTTTTATTTGTTGTAGAGACAAGGTCTTGCCAAGTTGCCCAGACTGGTCTCAAACCCCTGGGCTCAGGCAATCTTCTTGCCTCAGCCTCCCCAAGTGCTGGGATTACAGGCTTGAGCCACCAAACCGGGCCAATATTGCAATTTTTAAAAAACCGTTTGCAATTTTATGCAGTAGGTTATTTTTATTAAAATCTTATTAAGATATGGAGAAAAAAGTGGTATCAAAGAAGGAAACTGTTATTAAACTTGATAAGAGGAAAAGGTGTCAAGTTTGACTACCATGTTAAAAGTAAAAGCAAAATGTCTAAAATATGCTGAAGTATCTTGTTTTGCAGGATTTCTTATGTGTATCACAGTCCTTAAAATTACAATGGAAATTAAAACACTATATATTAAAATCTTTTTAAAACAAAACAAAAACTGTATAAGTATTGAAAACTCAAACTTTGGAGATGGAGATATCTGAGTTTGAAAACTGACTCTATCCCTTGCTTTCTGTGAGACCATGGACAAGTTATTTAAACTTTCTAAGCTGTAGTTTCCTGATCTGTAAAATGTATTTATAATGAAACCACATCACATGGTGCCTGACATATAAGCTTCATTAAATCTTACATATACGGCTGTACGCATGGCTCAAGCCTGTAATCTCAGCACTCTGGGAGGCTGAGGTGAGAGGATTGCCTGATCCCATGGGTTCGAGAACAGCCTAGGCAACTTGGTGAGACCTTATCTCTACAATAAATAAGTAAATTAGCTGGGTATGGTAGTGCACACCAGTAGTTCCAGCTACCTGAAAGGCTGAGGTGGAAGGAGCGCTGGAGCCTAGAAGGTCGATGTTGGTGTGGCCGTGAACATGCCACTGCACTCCAGCCTGGGCGATGGAGTGAGACTTCAACTCAAAAAAAAAAAAATCTTACATATACTATCATATCATTACACTAACTGTCTGCAAGTAGATTATGAAAAGCTATACACAGACATTTGAGAATTGTGTCAAATATTTTTGAAACTCTTTCGGTAATCTGACTTTCTGAGTTAGCATAGAAAAATCAGAGGTGTACATAATTCATGCTTTTAAAAAAAATATTAAAACTGCTTAAACTAGCTACCACATTCAATAAAATTAATGCTAAATATCTTTGATTGCTTTCAAAAATTGAATTTACTTCCACCCTTAAGTGAGATTTGTCCTCCAATGAAGTTATACATAGTACAGTTACAGAATCTTCAAGTTGCAAGAGACCTTAGAAATGACTGAGATCAGTACTGTCCAATACAGTAGTCACCAGCCACACAAGGCTATTTAAATTGTTAAAAATCAAATAAAAGCAATAATTCTGTCCTTCAGTCTCACCAGCCATTTTTCTACTGCTCAATATCCACTATATTGAACAATGCAGATAAAGAATTTTCATTGTCACAGAAAGTCCTAGAGGACAGCTTTAGTCTACTACAGAGGTCCCCAAACTTTTTGGCATCAGAGACCACTTTTGTGGAAGACAATTTTTTCCACAGACAGTGGAGTAGGGGAGGGTGGGAGGAGAGTGTGAGTCGGGGGAGGGCATGTCATCAGACTTTAGATTCTTACAAGAAGCAACAACCTAGATCCCTCACACGCGCGGTTTGTGCTCCTATGAAAATCGAATGCTGCTGCTGATCTGACAGAAGACAGAGCTCCAGTTGCCTGCCACTCACCTACTGCTGTGCAGCCCGGTTCCTAACAGGCCATGGACCGATACTGATCCACCAACCAAGGGTTGGGGACCCTGGAGAGATAGGTCTCCATTGGAGAGGAAAAAGAGTATATGTGTGAAATTCAGTCTTCTTCAAAAACATGTGATTTTCTCCCACATGCCTGTGTCTTGGAGAGTTGTGTGGATTCTAGCTCAGGTGCTGATTGCTGGGGACTCCGGAGTGAGGCCCAAGGACTGCAGGAAGAATACACAGGCATGAGTCCCAGCTCCTGCAGATAAATAAGTTGGGAAAAGTCACCAGAATGGATGGCTGGCTGACAACCAACATCTGTTGTTGAGACAGGATTTCTCAGATTGTGCTGTTTGTCATGTGCTAATGTTATTGATCCAGCTCCCAAGAACAGGACAGCACTCCAGGTGAGAAGTGAAATGTGTATAAACATTCCCATTTTAGTCAGCTTGGGAAGCACTCACCTTTGTCAAGGAAAGATGTGGAAGGTGGGCCTCAGAGGGGATGAGAAGGAGTCGTCCTCCTTTCACCATGTGAGTTTGGCCTGGAGCACCTCCCATAGATGGGGGTAGAGAAGACAGGAAGGAGACCAGAGAAGGACCTCTAAGTCACGTCTTGTCTGCAAGCTCTGAGAATGTTGACATTTCAAGGCCCTTATAAGTTATTCTTCTTATACAGAATTCTTTGTTTTTTACATCCTGGTCCCAGTAGTATTGTGGGATCTTTTTCATAAGCTCAGGGTGGTGATGGCAATACCTACCAGTGGAAGACACAGGGCTCTGCAACAGGTGACAATGTCTCAAGGGTCAATGGTAACACACCAGTGACCAGCATCCTGGTGAGGAGACCAGGATGGCGGAAGCTGAAGGACCTACCCTAGTACACCGGAGAGGCCAATCTTAGGGACTGCATGCCACCAAATGACATGTTGACTTCTGTGGCACCATGATCTTCTCGTCCTCCTGGTTTTCTGGTTGTTCCTTCTCAGTTTCTTTCACTGGCTCTTTTGCTCTCTCCCTCTTCCTGAGATGTGAATATTTCCAGGTCCTATCTTCATCTCTTCTCACTCTGCACTCTCTTTTTTGATAATGTTACTCCTTCCCAGTGCTTCAACCATTATCCCCAACATATACCCGTGGCCCATGCCCCCTCCTGAGTTTCAGCCCTTAGAGACCATCTGACTGTGGAATGTCTTCGCCTGAATGACCTGCAATCACCTCAAATCCAATATGTTCAAGGCTTATCGTCACCTCCCTTCTCTTCGTCCTCAATGTTTAATTCACTTCCAAATTCTGTCAAGTCTATCTCCAAAATTTAACCTCATATTTCCATTGCAAATTCCCTGTTTCAAAACTTTGCAGGCTTTTGACCAGACAATTGAAGTCACTCTCAAGTGTTCAGACAAGTCTCTATTCAATCTCTCCTATTTGCTGGTATCAGGATTATTGTTCTATATTATACATTACAGGTATCAGCATGTCTGCCCCTTCTTTACAAACGTTGCAGTGGACCAAAAACTGTTGTCCTAAACTCATTTGAACTCGCTAGTCCTGTGATGTGCTACAGCCAATCTGGTCATCCTCCAAGTCACACCTCTCCCTCTTAACTTTTCCAGACACCTTCAGTAAATTTAAACTTTCCCTTTTCTACACTCAAGCTGGGTGGCTGCAGCTCTACAGTCACGTTCCCCACAGGCCTGCTGGTACCACTGGCACTTGTGGAAGAGTCCAGCTTCCCATGGGACCATCTGTTGGGAGAGTGTGATACAGCACAGATCATCTACTCAAAGGCTAGCAAGGGCATGGCTGTCTCATCTCCCACAGGGCCATGAAGTATAGACTTCACTGGAGTACTTCAAGTGGCTTCTAGGGAGGTTTTATCTTTTAATTCATAAGGTTTCCCCCACTGAACATCAAACAGAGAGATTAAATCACCAATTCTAACTCAGTGACCTGGGATTCAGAGGTTGTCAGAAAAACCTGATGCCAAGGTTAAGGAGTCCACCCTTGGATTGCTCAAGTCAAGAGCACCCAAGAGATGGATGCATCAGCAGATAAACCAAGAAAGAGGAACCATAAGTGTAGTAAATTGAAAAATAAATCTATAAAAAGTACAAAGAATGCAACTCTGAACAATAGAGCTTAGCTATGGAAAGCTGCAAACAGCAGTAGCTGATTAGAGGTACTGCATGTGGTTGATTTCACAACATAGCTTATTTGATTGAGGGCATCGTTTAAGTTGCAGGAGGCTTTTAAAAAAAAATAGGAGTTCATCACTCATGCTACCTTCCCTCAGCACTGACACCATCGCTACCACCAGTGGCAGACGCATGGGGAGAAAGCAGAGGGACTGCTAAAATGGAGAGTAGGAGGAGTACGCCCACTGTAATTTTGCCCCCACTAAGAATTGAGACAGTAGGATTAAAACTGCCAACGGGAGATATATTTAGAGAATGAATAAACATGGGCTTACTTGCTCACTGACTCATACATTCACTCATTTACTGAGCGTCTACTAGCTACCCTCATCTCACTCTCATCAAAAACATACATGCTAGACTCTGAGAAGCATCGGATGGCCTGTGATGGCAAGAGGTCCTGTGGGAAAAGCATTGCTCATTGGGTGCATTTGCCAAGACAGCAGGCGGCTCTCACACACAGTGAATGGTGTTGTGTTTGCACGGTCTCCTGAGGTTTCCCCTTTGCAAAGCCCCTCCATGTACAAGGGGGACCCCCTAAAAAATCAAAATTAGCTTTTGGAGGGCGGGTCCCTTGTAGAACAGGCTTCCCCTGCTAGTAAATGTTCTAGGAACCCATCAGCATCAGTATACCAGTTAGCATTGTTGTGAGAGGCTGCTTTCAGCTTCAGTGAAATGTTTTGGGGGACAGTCTTTCAACATGTTTGCCCATTTCATAATGGGTGATTTATGCGTGCACCTGCCCACACAGCAGTTAAATGTTCAGCAGTTTTTGACCAAAAAAAGGCACGACCTCCATGTCCCACCCTCCCTATTCACCCAATCTCACCCCAGCAAATTTTTTTTTATTCCCCAGATGAAGAAGAGTCCTCAAAGGGAAATATTTTACTGGGGTGGAAAAGCTGAAACAAAAAACAGCAGAAACACTAAAAGGCATCAAAATAGACAAGTTCAAAAGCTGTTTTGAGCAGTGGAAAAAGAATCTAGATAGGCGTATTGCATCAAATGGAAAGTGCTCCGAAGGTGACGGAAATTTAAACATTTAAGAATAAATACACAATTTTTATAAATAAATTCTGGGTTTTGGGGTCCCCCCTCATATATTCTTCTCACTTGAGCCTCATAACACAAATTATGCATGGCAGTGACATTCATAGGCTCCATCAGTAATCACTCATTTCACTAAGAATAGAATAGAAGCTGCTTGGCAAGGCACCCGTTCATTCATATAAGAATGTTTGCCTACCATGCGCCAGACACTGGTGTTAGGTTCTGGGTTCACCAGAGTGACCCCAAAAGGCCCCTGCCCTCTTGGTGCTTACATTCCAGTGACTGATCGTGTTCCTGATGACCTGGCTTCTGAACACCTGACACCCCCACTTCACTGTCTGCCACATGGAACCTCAGGCAGTTTGCCGGACATGCCCTACTAAAGAAGCACCACACCGACACTCAGTCACCATCAATCACCTCTGTTTGGAACACCATCACTCCTTCCTCCAACTGATTGATTCCTTTCAGGGCATCACAGCTGAGGCAGGCCTGGGCATCACTCCTAGGAAACCTTTCTCTATTGCCCTACTGTCCTAGCACCCCCACACACTTAGTCCCCTGCACACACACACACCACACACACACATACACACACACACATCACACACACCATCATCCTGGCCTGTGGAGAGATTAGTTTGTGGTTATTGTTCTTCCTTGAGTAGGTATTATTTTCTTACGTTTGGTGAACATCAATCATTTAGGGCCACTCTGTATTGGTCTCCTCTACTCTGATCTTTGCTGGAGACTCTCAACTTCCTCCAAGAGTCTCACAGGACAGTCCAGCTTCTCACAGAATCTAGAGGTAGTGACATAGAACATGGAACACACAGCGGCTCTCTCACTCACCAGTGAAACCCTGAGAGGCAGGGACTAGAAGGAAAGACGTTTATTTCTGAATTCAAAATTCAGGGAGACAAACCAGTATAGACACCATGACCAGCTCAGCTCCTTGGATTTTACAGTCTGTATTTATAAGCATAAGCATTGAGGCTTGCCATTGATTAACAACAGACTACGTGATTTACAAAGCAGTCTGTAAGTTTCCAGTTTCGACTGCATTTCGTCAATTATAATGTTCATTCTCTGTATATTCTTGGTACCCATTACCGGGAACCTCTATTTTAGTTTATCAATAACTCTAAGCAAAGGTGTTAGCGGAACTTACTACAAAGTGAAACATTATTCTTTTTGATACATCATTAGGCAGTGGGTACAACAAAAGAAAAAGTGTACTGGTTGCTGTTACACTGCTGATTATAAATTGCTGATTTATATAATTGTATTTCTAACTTTAACTATTGATCACAGGGATGAAGAACAATCTATTTTATGAACTATGTGACTAAAACCATGGGGTCCCTGCCTCTCGGGGTTTCACTGGTGAGTGAGAGAGCAGCTGTGTGTTCCACAGACCATGTCACTATCTCTAGACTTTGTGAGAAGTTGGACTTTCCTGTGAGACTCTCAGGGCAAGTTGAGAGTCCCTGGCAAAGATCAGAGCAGAGGAGACAAATACAGTCTTAGGATTCTAAGGAATGTGGGTGCGTACAGGACAGTAACCCTAAGTAATCCAACATATTTAATAGTAGAAGGCCACTTGAGGAGGGTATCTTTAAGAGAGTCCCTTCATCAGTAGAGGATAGAATCTTCACCTCAGGATAAACTAATCCACACAATCCCACTCCCCTGAATGTAACTCTTGATTTAGAGAAGAGAATCTGATCCAAGTTGGTCCAACTAAAGTGGAGTCCATTTTGTTGGGCCATTGTGGGCCAAGGCACTCAGAGCTCAGGTGAAGTATGAAGCCCTCAGTGCTGCTGGCAGCCAGCCAGTGACCCCAGGGGATGCCTGACTGAGGACATTGCAAAGACAGAGGTGGCAGAGCTGGGAGTTGGATCCTGAACAGGCGGTTAAAGGCCTGGATGCCTTACTTACAGAAGCCTTAGCATTCACTGTCCAGTCCTTTTCCCCATACCTCCTAGGAAGTTTGGACTGGACTTTCTATCCTCCCAAAATGTACTCCATTCTAAAATGAAGTAGCTACAAGGTGTTGTCTTTTATGGTGTACTATAGACAAGCCTTTGTACATGTTCCTCAGGCACATTTATGCTATGAAGCCAGAAGCAGATTTTCCAGAAGGCAGTCCTCCATCTTGTTTGCAAACACTTAAGACTCATTGACAGGGAGGGGATCCAGGGGAAAAGAGCAATGCATGTTTTAGGGTGAGGAAGCAAAAGTTGATGAACTTTGGAGAGCTTCCCGAGAGATCAGGAAGGAGGTAGTGTCTCCAAGGGGGCTATGAGAATGAGGGACTGCAACTCTGTTCCCACCTGAGAGGTTTTCAGACTCCTGGAATAATCCAGAAAGGAAGAGGGCTATTTTTATATTCTTTTTATCCAAAAATTTTCTACACTCCCCAAATTCAATTCAACTTTCTAAAGTAACTAATCTATGGTTCCAAAGTAAAAATGTCAGCAGTTAGCCTTTAAGATAGAAATGAATAAAATCATGCCACCTACTACACACATATATTAAATTTTTGCTTGACAATGAGGTTGACTTGAAGTTCTGGAGATTCACTAAGACGGAAAGACAAACTTTAGATGCCTTGGAAGCTGGGGAGTTATGCTGTAGGCAACTAAGCAAATCAGTGCCTATCCATCTTATGTAAACAAAAAGGTAATTAATTTAGAAATAATTTAATATAGAATCAATATGATTCATATTTTATTAACTGAGAAGTCAAAGCGATGACACCAAAATTAAACAAAGGGAATGACAACTGAGCCTGTAGCTTGTTATTACTTTATTCAATAGGTCTTAAAGAGGTTTTGACCATTTCTCAAGGACAGAAGACACAGAATATTTTGCTGTAAATATCAGGTACCTCCCTCTGCCTGCACATTTAGAACACACAATCCACAGAGCACTGGACTGCTGTGGTTAGCCACATGAACTTTGAGGTTTGAGACATACTTCCTAATTATATCTTGGGCAAATGACTGAATTCCTCTACACCTCAATTTTCTCATTTACAAAATGGGAAAAATAGTGGCTTCCTAGATTCTTATTTGCATTTGCATGAAATATTCAAGAAAATTATCAATCTAAAATCCTTAGGATAGGGCACAATGTGAATAATAATAGACAAAAATTGAGTTCTGGGTGCTAGTTTAATTATACACTTCAGAAGTGTTAGGTCCAAGCCGGGTTCGGTGGCTCAGCCTGTAATCCCACTTTGGGAGGCTGAGGTGAGTGGATTGCCTGAGCCTGCGGGTTCGAGACCCGTCTGGGCAACTTGGCGAGCCCTCATCTCTACAATAAATCAAAAATTAGCCGGGCATGGTAGTGCGTGCCTGTAGTTTCAGCTACTTGGAAGGCTGAGATGGAAGGATTGCTGGAGCCCAGCAGGTCGAGGTTGCAGTGGCCACTCCGGCCACTGCACTCCAGTCTGGGTGACAGAGTGAGACTCCAACTCAAAAAAAAGTGTTAGGTCCTTTGGTGTATATGGTAAATAGATACTAAAACTCTATTACCTTCATTGTGCTAATGAAGAAACTGAGGTTCAAAGTCATACTGCTACTATATAGCAAAGTTCATACATCGTAAGAGATACTGCATGGTGGCTATTATGACTAAATACACACACACACACACACACACACACACTGTGTTTGGCCTTAATAGGATGGTTACAAAAGAGGGCTTTCATTTCAAGATTTTCTTATGAAAGCGTTCTCACTGTCTCATTTGACTTATGGTAAAATTTGACAGAGATGCGAGATGCTTAAACATCAAGTCAACAGAACTACAAACTTAACACCCCCAAGTGTAACTATGACTTCAATCTCCCTGGGTCAGAGGGAAAGAGCTAACAAGATTCCCAAACCCAAAGAGTGGGCAAAGCATTTGGGTAGAATTGATGGGCACGGAAAAAGGCAATTTTTAGAAAGAATTCACTGTCTGATTCTACTACAAAATACTTATGTCAGCTACAAGTTCATTGAGTCTGAACTTTCCCATCTACCAGAGGAGAAAATTGTACTAGATTGGACACTCTCAACCTGCTACCCCTTAGAGCCATCCAAGAAGCTTTGAAAAAGATCTCTAGGCCGGGCTGCTCCCAGAGATTCTGATCAAACTGGCCCGGAGTGGGAAGTTTTGAAAGCCCCTGAGGGATTCTAATGTGCTACCAAATTTGAGAACCACTAAACCAGGCCCATTCTGATGTAAAATCACCCAGCTTTGTACCTCTACAAGATCATAAACACAAAACAGAAGTACCTGGAGCAGAATCTTGTTGCCGTCGTAGTCCTGAGTCTGCCACCTGGTGCTGCTGATGGGAATGCAGGGATTGGGTAGCAGAGGCACTAACTGGCCGATCTCTTGAACCTTAAACTGAAGCACCGAAGACTCTTTGGGGTCCACCGACATTCCCAGGGGCAGCTGCTTCAGGGAGAGCTGCAGGGAAAAGCTCTCGGTGGCGTAGAGCACAAAGAAACAAAAATTACTCTTTTGCAGTGTGGCTTCCCTCTGCAGAATCATCTCGTAGAGTCTGATGGCATCCTCATAGTTGTCAAAACTGCAGTAGAGCGTCACCCTTAGGATTTCGGTCCCGCAGTGCACCTGCCTGACCCCCCAAACGGGCATCTGGCTGTCCAGGCTGTAGAAGTCCTGGTTAGCGAGAAGGTAGGGACACAGTCTCCTTGGCACATCCTGGATGGGGTAGCACTGCCAGGGCGAGTGCTGGAGGGCATCCAGAGCGCGGAACAGCCGCTCCTCACCTAGACTTTCGTGCAGGAAGAGCAACACAGACATCCCCGGGAACCGGGACCGCTTGGGAAGAGACTTTCCGTAGAATTCCAGGGCACCCGCCCGCTCGGACACCTGAAAGATCCGGACCTCTGGGCAAATGCAATCCAGGAGCTGGTCCAGAGTCCGTTGCAGAAGTGAGCCATGCCCAGAGTTGGCAAGGAGATGGACGGTCATAGCCAGAGGTCCCTGCGTCTCATCCATGCTGGAACTGCCCAATGACCGACAACCCAGCCAGCCTGGGGGGCCCACCGTTCAAGTTCCTGAAATAAGGGAAGGAATCGCTGAGCCCGCAGGCCCCAGAATACCTTCAGTGGCAGCAG